AATTAGTCGAACTCGTGGCTCGATGGTCAAAGCAATTCGAGCACGGCAGCCAAAATCACACAACTAAAATACTCCTTCAATTCAAATTCGATCTGGAGGGCGTCTAATAAATCATGAGCTGTTATTATTTTTTATATTTTAATTATTTAATTATATATTTTAAATATTAACTTATTAATAAAGGTAAACTCTTACTATTCAAATTTATATTTTTATCACGAGTTTCTTTAGATTCATGAGTTTGACAATTTTGGTTTAAATAACTAATTTATAAATATTAAAAAAAATTAGTTAAGTTTTTTATTGTTTTAAAGTTGTGACAATTTTTTCACTTATGATAAATACTCATAAAAATGTTTATATAAATCAAGACAAAATTTCTTTACCTTACTTTATAAATTAAGATTGAACAACTGTTTCTAAAGTAACCTGTCCCCTTCCAAAATTCAAACAAGACGTGAATTGATTGTACGAGGGAATATGTTATGTCGTGATTTTTGTGTCTAGATTAAAGCATTAATAAGCTCAAGGTATTTATTATGTTATTCTCATATTATCTTTAATTTAAAATTAGTTATTTTTTCGAAATTACACCAAATGAGTAATAATGATAAAATTGGATGCTTCTTCCATTTTTTTCCCAAAAAAAAAAAGGAATTTTAAGGTTTTCTTAATTTCAATGTTAATGATGAAAATGACTCTAAAAAATATAAAGAGTAATTATTGGGAAGAATGTTACAAAAAGAAAATTGAAATTACTAAATCTAAAATCGGATCTGATTCCTATACTTTATAATAGATTTTAACAATATTTGACTTGTAAAAAACAATACATTTTATTGGTTCATATAAATAAAACAAGGTAGAAGTGGCAGTTGTCTCGTATAAAAAGAAAGGAAAGAGTGTCCTTTAGCAAGCTTTCACTTTCCAACGCAATTGACCCTAGAAATGAGTTTCGGTAATCTGGACTGCCAGATCCATTTCTTTTAACTTTTATTTTTTAAAAAAATATTTTAATTTATACAGAATTAAAAATAAAGATATTTTTTAAAATCAGTTTTATAAAAAAAACAGCTTTTTATTTAAAAATTATGAGTTAAACATTCTAAATACTGGCTAATGAAATTATATTTAAACCGTACTAACCTCGCGTGGTTATGGAGCACCATATTGGGTCCATTACTCCATTGTTTGTACCTACCATGAGTAGAAGTAGCGTCACTAACATTAACAACGTGACCCCACCATGAGTGGAAAGAACAGTGCCATTAAATTTTGATTCAAAATTTCCACCCAATTAAAGTTGCTTTGGTCAGTGTATTAGGAGGTGTTTGACAACTCTTAAAAGTGTTTTTAAAAAGCACTTTTCTGTAAAATGAAACAAACTCCTTCACATATTTATTTCATAAATTATAAAAATACTTTTAAAATTATGGTTTGATTTTTATCCAACCATATTCTTTGCCACTTTTAATAATTGTGTACATTGGATACTCCGCTTTTTCACAGAACTGAACTTAGCTGGCATACTAAACGGGCGATTCCACAAAGACTATTTCCGTCATCACCATTGTGCGTAAACTGTTTTTTCTGCACTTTGAAACAAACTGCAATGGCTTCTGCTTCCTCAGGCTCTTGCATTATTGGTCGGTTATTGGTCGGTTATTGGTCGGTGTATCGGTTCTCAAACTTTATGCATTTCAGTTTGGCAAAATGGTCTCTTACACATTGGGTCTCTTACATATTCCAATTCGTTACGGTATATGCAGCATCAGAATACACTTCAAGGACCAAAAAAAAAAGGAGTTTTCAAACTTGCAATGCATAGTATTTATGTATATTTAATACATGTGAATTATGAGTTGTTTTTTTCCCCAACGAGACTGTGTCTTATTTTTAGGATTGCTGACAATTAAAAACACACTTTAATTTTACATTTAAAGTAAGCCCAAAATAGTTTCAAGGAGTTTTCAACTTCCCACAGGTTTATACATTATTGTATAGTGTATACCATTAGTCCAATTACTTGGTCTAATAGTACGTGACGGTTCATTTATTCTTCCCTCTCTTCACAACTTTTCCAATTAGGATATGCACCACTTTAATATGGAAGCCAACCATGCAATTCTGCCAAAGACTTGAGTTCTAAATAACAGATATTGTTTTGGCTCAAAAAGTAACAGAAATCAATTATAACATTACTCTCTGTCCCATTTTATAAGCAACAATTACTATCTGCCTTTTGTTTCTAAATATATGCAACTTTTACAAGTTGTTTTAAATTTTTGTAGTGAATCTTTCATTTTGTCCTCATTAATTACTTATTTTAATACTCAATATATTTATAATCTCATTTCCTAAACCATTATCTTTTCATCACACATTCTCTCTCTTTTATAATTCTCTTTATTATAATAATTTTTTATTCTCTCTTTTATACTCTCTCTTCCCATAAATAAGGGCATTTTAGTAAAAAAAAATTTAATTTCTACATATTTATTGTTTTTAATTAATTTTAACCAATATTTTGATCTTCGTGATGAGTTCTAATGTTATTTATAAAAAGGGATGGGGGTATTTAACACGCTTTCAAACACAATTGATCCTACTATCATCTCTAACAGCTAAAATTCTGACCCTACTATTAATTGGTGAAAGTTGCAGTGAAATAGGAAAGCAGTTGGTATGAGCGCATCAGCATCAACTTTTCAGCGTAGGCCAAACATTTTGTTGGACCTTAGTTACGGAGAAGCTTTCTTCTCTCTCTCTGTTTTTTTTTTTTAAAACCGGAAGAAGCTTTCATGAAAATGTAATGCTCCCAAAGACTTGACTTCATAATTAATGTGCCCCAAAAAATAACATATACTCCCTCCAATTTTCAATATAGGAGTTAGGTAATTTTATTAATTATTTCCAAAAAATATTTGTGGGTTTACCTAAATACTCCTTTAATAATTTATATTAAAAACCACCACATTAATAGAAATCTCCTCCCTTAATTATAAATTTCAAAGATAATGTAAACTGAATTTTTATATTTAAAATTAAAATATTCTTCCAATTCAAATTAGATTTAGACCGATCTAGTAAATCATTAGTTTCTATCAATCCGTTTAGCACGCAAACCCATTTCAAGTTAAATTAAACCAACAAAAAAGAACATAAAGTCAAGATAAGTAATGAGCAAAAACAAACAAATAGAAGTCACTCTATGTAAAATCTGAAAACAGATTGAGAAAAGGTCAAAAATAAAAGAGTGTGTTTCAAAAATTCACAAAAGTCATAATATTATATTATACTTAAAATGGTGAACGTGCCAAGATACCTAGAAATTTTTACTCAAAGTATACTCATCATTATAATCTTTTCATGAGTGCAAAAATACATAAAAACTTGCAAGACCAGAGAAAAAATGATTTCACCCACGCTAATGCTATGAAAGTATCAAAATGCTGCTAATTCAAAAAAAAAAAGGCAAAGATACAAAAATACTTATAAACTTTTAATCAAAGTGTGCCAAATATCATATGTTTTTTCACGTTTGTAAAAGTGCCAATGACCATACAAATAAATTAATTCTTCCAGTTTTAACAGATAAACGCTATTAAATTTTATTATACTATGATAATGCCAATAATTTTATGATTAATATATATGTTCAGTCTTTTAAATTTACATTAAGTTTTAATTTAGTCTCTTAAATACGCAAAGTATATTTTTAGTTACTAAATGTTAACATCATAGGTCACATTAACAGAAAATGCTTACTCAATGAATTTAAAGGATTTTTGGCCAAAAAAAAAAGAATTTAAAGGATGACTTTACCAAAATACCCATAAATTAATTATTCTATTTTTTTTAAAAATTAAAATTTATTATACTATTATACTTTTGCACCTCCACAAAGGTTATGGTGATGGATGCACTTTAGATAAAAGTTTATGGATATTTTTACGCTTTCAACCTTCAAATTAATTATAGTAACTGTGGTAATTATTCTTGTAGATGATCAGTTGGTGTTGGTGGGGCTTTTGCATTATTGCTCTGTGTATTGGTTCTCAAATCTTGTGCATTTTAATTTGGCAACTGGGCCTCTTACATATTCCAATTTATTTTGTTATAGTACAAGCAGCATCGAAATATACTAGAACCCATCATTTTAATTGACCCTATCATCACTAACAAATATTAGAACCCATCATTTAACACAATTTCAAACAGAATTGACCATTACTAACAATTACTTTATTTAATTCTTGATATAAGAACTAGTTGGGAGTTAAATTTAGTATTATATATAAGATCTTAATATGTTTATCATATTTATCATTTTTTTAAAACTAAGTTATTTATATTATAAATTGATATATATAATCTAATACTCTGTAAAATATATTTTAAGAAGATCATGTCATGTTTATTATAATTAAATAATTTTTTTATTTTTAATATATTTAAATTAGTAAGTAGTTTTTATATTGAAAAATAGAAGTCAGTAACAACAATGTCCCTAACACGAACATGTGAAAGTTGAGAGCAATTGCGTTCCGCCTAGCTCCGTTAAGTAGGGGGAAGCTGCCGAAAAGTAACAGAGCAATTGGCTTGAAGCACCAACATCATCTTTTACGTACAAACCATTCACATGCGAAAAAGTTACGCAACTTACACTCATTCACACGCAATGGACCCTACCATTGAGGGTACGACCTTTCCCTGTAATTCATCGTATGAGGGACGGACAACGTAATTCACACGCAATGGACCCTGCTTTTTGTCGCCAAAAGAAAGGTATCGGGGTTAGGATGGAAATGAAATTTGTTATTAATTCCAATGTGAAAAGGGTAAAAGTATCAGTTACCGTGTCATTTGGCTTTGGAGACTTGAAAAAGTGAATAAAGTCTAGCCTATGCCATACATACTCCATCACCAGTTCACTTTTGCCATTTCTCAGCAAAGAATACAGAATACAGAGAGAGATCCGAGACAGTAATCAGAATACCATGTTTGCCATAGCTTCCCCATCATCATCTTCTTCTTCCAAGAAATATGATGTGTTTCTGAGTTTCAGAGGAGAGGACACTCGCAGATCCTTCACCAGCCATCTCCATACTGCCTTGTGCCTCAGAGATATTGAGACATACATTGATTATGAGCTCCCAAAGGGCGATGACATCTCCCAATCACTCATTGAAGCAATTCATGATTCATCCATCTCTGTGGTGGTTTTATCTAAAAACTATGCCACTTCAAAATGGTGTTTGAATGAGCTCCTTGAGATCCTTCGCTGCAAACAACATCAGGCACAGATTGTTGTTCCTATCTTCCACAAAATTGACCCATCTAATGTACGCAAACAAAAGGCAACTTATGAGAAAGCATTCGCAGAACATTTGGAGAAAAACTCAAAGAAGGTGGAGGAGTGGAGACAAGCACTTTTTGAGATTGCAAATCTAGCAGGATGGGACTCCTGCAAGTATAGGTCACTCTTCATTCTCTAACTCCAAATATCTGAATCAGAGTTCATACTTTTTCTTATTATTGTGATCGGTCTTCATATTCATATAAATTGCCTTTTTCTTTCCATATTAGCTTATCCAACAACTAATTAACTGGCAGTGAATAATGATGTTGGATCATGTTTTGCAATACTTGTGTATATATGACATATAAGCTTAATTTCTTTAAATTATTGTGTTTACATGGGAAAAAACATTATTTAAATGGTGTCATCTCAAACTTGGATACTTGAGCTCTAAAAGTTGATTTTTTTAAATATTTTTCTTCTTTTCCCCTATCAGATGAAAGTTTTTTTTTCTTTTTTTCTTTTTCCTCCTGTCAGATGAAAGTTTTTTTTTTTAAAAAAAAACTGTTCAATTTAACCTTTCTTTGAATTAATTGTCACTACGAATAACTCATATGGTAGAGTAAATTATGTATACATTTCTTACGTTGGAATGAATCCTTCTCACTAATTTTGAAAATGGAGGAAAAATATCCACACAATTTCGATAAAACTTTGAAGAAATTTATCATTTTTTTCCAAATAATAATATTGTCATGTAAAATGAATTGCCATCAATTAGTTGTCACTTTATTTAATACATTTTTTTAATTAATTTTCATTTGATGCATTAATACTTTCTTCCACAATTCTTTTTCTTATATCAGGCATGAAGCAGAACTCATTCAAAATATTGTCACGAACATCAACAAAAAACTAAACCGTGGGTCCCCAACAACTGTATTAGAAAATATTATTGGAATTGATGAGAATTTAGATCATATTGAGTCGTTGTTAGAAGAATCCTCAACAATTGGGATTTGGGGGATGGGCGGGATAGGCAAAACAACAATGGCTAAGGTTGTGTTTGCCAAGCTCCGCTCTCAATTTGATAGTTGCTGCTTCTTGAAAAATTTTACGGAAAAGTACAAAAAGCATGGGTTAGAATATGTACGTGACGAACTTTTCCGAGAACTATCAAAGGATACATCTCTTGGGAGGCTCAATCGTAGAAAAGTTTTGATTGTACTTGATGATGTTAGCAAGACAAAGCAATTAGAGGAGTTGAAGAGTGAAGTTCCCCATTTCGGACCTGGTAGTAAAATCATCATAACAAGTAGAGATAAGCATGTGCTTATTGTTGGAAGAGTTGATAAAATACATGAGGCCAAGGCATTGAGCGACAACAATTCACTTGAGCTTTTCAACCTCAAAGCCTTCCACAAAGATGGTTATGAAAGTGAATATGAACAACCAGTTAAAAGAGCACTTGCTTATGCCAAAGGCATCCCACTGGCCTTAACCGTTTTGGGTTCGCTTCTGCATTCCAGACCTGCAGATCAATGGGAAGATGAGTTGAGTAAATTAGAAAGGATGGCCAAAGAAGATATTCAAGATGTGTTAAAATTGAGCTATGATGGACTCGATGACGAAGTGAAGGAGATATTTTTAGACATTGCTTTTTTTTTTAAAGGTAGATCTGGACAATATGTAGAAGCAATGCTAAAGAGCTTTGGCTTTCACGCAAGCATTGGTTTGGGAATTCTTGTGGATAGGGCGTTGATAAGTCTTAGTCATGATGCGGTATGGATGCATGATTTAATTCAATCAATGGCCTTCGAAATTGTTCGCAAAGAGTGTAAGAATCCAGGAGGACGTAGTCGACTACGGAATTCTGATGAGATCATCGACGTCCTAAAAAATAATCGAGTAAGAAAAATATTTACCTTTTTCTAATTAAACATTTGAAAACGAATGAAAAGAAATTGTTAATATAAAGCAATTTATTTATTTTCTTTTGGGCTTTTATGTTGTCCAGGGAAGTGATGCAATTCAAGGCATAAGTTTAGATTTGTCTCAAATTAAGGAATTACAATTCTGTGCTGATGCCTTTGGAAAGATGACAAATTTAAGGTTTTTGGAACTCTATTCATCCAACCATGGGAGGACAAATTTAACCCCTTTGGAACTCTATTCATCCAACCATGGGAGGTCGTGTATTGTGAATCTTCCTCCAACGTTTGAATCATTTCCTAATTTATTACGGTATCTTCGATGGGACAATTTTCCTTTAAAGTCTTTACCATTGTCATTCTGTGCCGAGAAGCTAGTTCAACTTCACATGCCTAACAGCAGCCTTCAAAAACTATGGGATGGCAAGCAGGTATAACATACAAATATGAGTCTTATAACTTTTCTCTTTTTTACAATTTGATTCAAATTTAAGACTCTTGATTCCTGTGTAATATTTCTCTTTTTAATTGTTGCAGGACTTGGTGAATTTAAGGGAGATAAACCTTCGGGAATCCAAAAAATTGATAGAGTTGCCAGATTTGTCAACAGCTAAAAAACTTGAACGGGTTGATCTTGGACGCTGTAAAAGTTTATGCCATCTTCATCCATCCATTTTATCTCTTTCGAGATTGAAGTATGTGGATCTTGAGCTTTGCCAAAACCTAAAGAGTTTGAAAACAGAGAGTCAATCAAAATCGCTCTTGAAACTACAGGTGGCTGGTTGCTATGGTCTCAAGGAATTTTCATTCTCTTCGGACAAACTTACTTATTTAGATTTATGGACCTCAACAGTCGAGAATATAGACTTTTCAATGGGGCATATGGAGAACCTTCGGCGTCTCTCTCTTAATGGTTTGAAACTAAAGAATCTTCCAACTAACGACATTTGTTGCATGAGATCTCTTAACCACCTTCGTCTTGAACGTTGCACGGGAATGATTGACAAATCAAAGCTCCATAGCTTATTTGATGCTTTGCGATATCTGGTATCACTTTCTTTGAGAGAGTCATTCACATTAACGGAACTTCCAGACAATATCAAGCATCTCTCGAGGCTACACTCTCTTGATGTAAGCGGTTGCAGATACCTTCAATCTTTACCGGAGCTTCCTCCATCCATTGAAAAATTACATGCCTACGGCTGCACATCATTAAAGACGCTACAATTCCTTCAATCTCCATTGTTGGCAGATGAAATAACGTTGGGTTTAGCACTCCGTTCCTCAGCTAGTTATCTCCAAAATCTTCGAGATCTTTTTCTTGGTGGTTGTGAACAGTTGTATGAACTCCCTGAAAGCATCGGCTCCTTATCTTCATTGTCTTCACTGGATTTGAGTGGAAGTATTGTAGCGAGCTTGCCTGCTAGTATCAAGTATCTCTCAAATCTAAAAAAATACGCTTGACCAATTGTACAAGACTTCGTTCTCTGCCAGAACTGCCGCCATCCATAGAAACCGTCGTCGCTCGTGGTTGCATATCATTGGAGATTGTACCCATTTCAATACCTTTTGCACCACAATTGAAGTTGCTACATCTGAGAGAGTGCTTGAAATTGGAGAACTGCTTTCTGTCTCATGTGGCGGAAAGTACTTATTTCTCATTGAAGCGATTGGTGTACACAAACCAAGGCGGTGCTGTCTGTTACCCTGGAATAAAAGTTCCAAAGTGGTTTGGATCTAATGGGAGAACAGAGGCTTCCAACTGTATAACTATTGAGTCTCCTTCAGCCACAAATGACCTGATCGGCTTCATCTTTTGCTGTATTCTTTCTCGACATTCCTATAACGTTGGCGTGCAATTGCAAATTTATTATGATGGTAAGCGGTGCGACAACTCAGAGTTTGATTCTTGTGCACGTGAAATTTTGGACTTTTGTGGTGGTGAAAATTCGGAATCACGTCATGTTTTTTTGTGGTGTGATCCTCGCCGATTCATAAAGTTCCACAAAGCAACGGACAACCAAAACGCCAATTACAGGCCAGAGGTGTCATTTGAATTCTCTGTTGCCAACTTTGAAGAAGAGCTTGTTGATTGTGTGATTGAAGCATGTGGAGTCTGCCCAATATATGCCTCGAAATATCACGACTTCATTCAACAAATGGGACGGGAGCCAAACTTGGGTACCCAAAAAGAGTCCTGTCACTATGCTGATGAGAATTCATTTCATGAAATGCTCCAATATGTTAGATTCTCATTAAAGCAAGGGGAATGTGGCAATTTTGAAGGAAGTACTATTCCAGAGTGGTTTACTTACAAAAGTTCAATGACAGAGCGCAGTATTCGGAGTGTGAGTGTTCAGGTTGCTCCAGATTTTAAAAACTTAATAGGTTTCATTTTCTGCTTTGTCATACCTCACTTCTCCTCAAAAGAAAGGGATCAATATCACTCATCATGTGGATGCAATTGTTTTGACGGGGAAGAATTTCGCTTCTCTTTGCAAGGTCCAACAGGATGGCACTATTCAATGGAAAAATTGAATTCATATGCTAATGTGTTTCTATGGTATGATCCCCTCTATTGTGAACACATACTACACAAACTGCGAACAAAGGGAAAAGGTTATAATGAGGAGCTTGAATTTAAATTTGAGTTTGGTGAAGGCGAGATCCATGAATGGGGGCTTTATATTCGTGATTGCTTGTTCAAAGAATGTGGAGTACGGCCTATATATGTCTCAGAGTATACAAACTTCCTGCAACAAAAGAAAGTGGAGGTAAGTATGCCAAAAAAGAGGCATCATAATATTGATGATGACCAAAATCGACTCCCTTCAACAAAGAAATTGAAGGACTCTTATATAGATGTCATTCAATCTATTCCCCTGAATTCTGAGTCCAAGATATCTCATTATGCTGATGAGTTGCTACTTATGCTGTCCCAATTGAATTTGGAATCTTCAGAGAAACACACTCATCACAAATAAACTACCTACAATCCATTACTTGATCGGTATGTATCTCTCTTTTACATTTCGTTAATTAAGTTTGACATTGGTATACCGTAGCTACCCCAGGAAAATATAGATGATGCTTTTAAATAAACACGTGTTGCTTTGCAATATATGCATGGCCTGGTTTCATTAGATACCGTAATTAAAAATAAAAAAAGCGTTGAATGGAATAACCAACCAAATCTTAAGATGATTATATTTAAGAACGAAACTATTTTTCAGAATCCTTCTATTTTCCTAGATTTCTGACTACT